GTGGGAACATAATTGAAAAAGTTTTGACAGGGGTTAAACTGCCCCAGTTTAACCCCGAGAGCGTTATGCTAGCTCCAATTGTTAGATTACAAGCAAATATGTGAAGACGAATATTCGTATGCAATTAACAGTGATGTTAAAGAGATTTGTTTGCACAACTATGCTCAAATAAGTTTAATGAGAAATTAACTATATATATATATATAGGTATGTTTGGTTCATATAAAATATTAATGTAATAAAAACAAAAAGAAATTGCCCACACTTCCCTACTTGGTAGGAATTTTTATTGGAAAATTCTTTGTTAGTTATGTTTCTGCAGATATCTACTTAGTTTCTTAGACTTTGGATCATTTCATTTTATTCAATGCATTAAGAATTTACAGAAACAAAAGCGTATTAAGATCAAATAGTGTATTTAAGAATTTATATTCGTAAAAGACTAATTTTATGCAGAGAATCCGTAAAGAAAATGGGTAGTATGTGTGAAAATCCATCTGTCATTTCCAATATACAAATTTGATCACCATCGTTTAAATGAATCATAAATTTACATTATAAGAGGTAATATTAGTAGTCCTTTCAGAAGTGGAGCAAATTTGTATATATTAGTAGAGTATTTTTTTAATTTACACTTAATGAGAAACTTATCACTGTCGACTGCAGCAGTGTTATAATAAGACTTATTTCTATAATGCACATAGGTTCTCCTATGTTTAAGCTTTTACTGCAAAATGCTGCACAATATTCTCACGTTTCCAGCTATATATTTACTAGAGAGTCTTTATTCCTAAGACGTCATAAGACCCGAATAGTGAATCACAAATAAATCAGTTCAAAAGATAGAAAACACGAAATATGAAACTTTCCACAGCCGTTTGTGAGTACCACTGTCTTACTAATTGCTGTTTAGGTCATTTCATAGTCTAGTTTATTTAGCTTTCATAATTTCAATTTGCAGAATGAGCTATGGTTACTAATTGTCAGGCTAAAAAGTCATAGGAATTATGACGAATGAGGGGAATTATGGGTATTACAAATGTTAGTTTATGTCTGTGGTGCTGATTATTTATAGGTAAAATTTCTATCACCAGTTAGCATCCTCGCCTTTTTATTTATATTATTTCATTTATATATTTATTAAAACTTTAATGCACAAATACATAAATAAAGGTACACATGGCGGACTTAACACCTTGAGGCATTTTCTCCCAGTCAACCATTGGGCAAACAGAGATTCATGTTGGAGGTGCATTAAGAAATTGAAATTCAAATCGAAAAAAAAATAATAATAAGAAGATCACTTTAATATGATTAAATATAAATACATATGCGAATATACTTATAAACTATAATACATAATATGAATAAATAATTATACATATATAAATATAACTACATACACGTACGTACCTACATACATACATACATACAAATACACATACAATTATAAATTTATACAAATCAACAGGGAAATTCAGATACATAGAGGTGGTTGGGTGGAGGAATAATACTACAAGGATAACAGGAGCCTACACTAGTTCTGGGAAAGGTGTTTGCGTAATTTGGATTTGAATGTGAATTTTGAAGAGCTGGGCTTAATGTCAAGGGGTAACTCGTTCCAGTGTTTAATGAACTGTAAAGTGAAAGATTTAGAAATGAAGCTCGTACGATGAGCAGGAACGTGGAGAAGTAAATTCCTAGACGGACGTAGGTTACGATAAGAGATGTCCCCATGAAAATTATAACCTGGTATTAATAGTATGTTAAATCCTGCTGCTCTGATATACCGGCAAGTAAACTGTATGAAGTATCTCCTTCATACAGGTTACTTGCCAGTGTCATACATATTGTTATACCCTTCTAAATCGCATCATAGTAGGTAAGAATGTTTGTGTTCTCTGTCTGAAAATATTTTTTATATATTTATGCCTAAAATGTATTGACTTAGCTGCTTATGGAAGTACATACAAGCTAAATTTGAAATTGCTTGTATTTTATGTGTATAATTTTAGCTACTTCTGCAGTCGTTTAAAGGTTTCACAGATGTTACTTTATAGGTTCTGTAGTTCGCCTAGTCTCTGGAAACTAATTCCAATCAAATGACATTGGATTGCATCGTTTCACACCTTTTCGTGATCTTCAATTGTACGTTAGTATCTTCGTCGTACCGTTCGTATTGTTTTTATCTATATTTCGTATTCAGTGCAGGAACTAAATGTATTTTATATTGTCCATATTGAGAATTAAGTTCAAATTACATCCACTAAACTTTCTATGTACTAGTTATTTCAAGGTATTGATAGAAACAGTATTAAATATAATTTTAGTAAGAAAATTTGCTATTTACGTAACTATCAACACCAAGTAGAATAGTTTGGGAGTGATACCTCTACCTACCTACCTCTGTCTACCTAGTTTTAATTAAGTTTAGGAATAATTTGATGTACTTACATTGTCTATCTGTTTGTGGTAAAGTTTAACGCGATTGGGGTTAGACACTTGACATTTTAGATTAAGAAATTTATCTGTAACTTCATTTATTTGAAATAATAATTGAGCACAGGAAGTATACGTCTAAAAGAAGTACTATGTATATTTTGAGTGTTTAGCAAAAGGCGGCCTTATCGCTTAAAGCAATCTCTTAAAGAATGTCTTATATAAAATATTCTTATTAAAGAAATTTAATACTACATTCTGATTTTATAGAAGAAGCTTACAAAACGCATCTATTTTTATTCTTAAAAGAAAAAAACGTTACTTTTTAAGGGGCTGCTTATCTTTGTGGGGGAAGATGAAGAGGAAATATATAAAGCTTTATAACAAAATAATAATATCTATACACTCCAAGGGTACCCTTTTGAGCCGAATGAGGTAAATGAGCGATAATGAACGATGTTGTTGTCTTAAATGAAAATATTTTATAAGGCAAAGGAGTTTTTTTTTATCTTATCTAGACAATTATTCATATTCGGTTCATTGGTTCGATTTGAGTATTTCAAGTTCTATTCTACCTTGAAACCTATTTTTTTATACATTTTTTGGTAATTTTTGTTTAAAAATGATGATATGTAAAGTTATAACAATTTTATTTTTAATGTTATTTCGCTGGTTCACGTGGTGGAACATACCATCGCGTACCCAGAAGATTATAGCGCAGCTTTGTCTCTGTTTTCCAAAAATTTATGGGTTCTTAATTAATTTACATTATTCCAGCACTTCATATACTATTGTTGAACATATAGACTACTATCAAACATTACCTGTCCCACACCATTTGCATCCATCCAATCGATTAAATTTTAAGTGAAGATTATGATACGTTCTGTTACGTGAAAATCGCACCCAAATCAGTTAAGCCAAGAGAACACTGTGACAAATAATTAAAACGACAAAAAATGTGACAAGCATTATTTGGTTCATTACCTGATAAAGTACCCACAATTTTTTTTCTCATATTTCCTCCATTTAAGGACAGCTATATTTTTATTATATGTAAACGACTTATCGATTATCAGAGAGTATAATTGTATAATCATTGAAGATGATATATAAGTGCCTTTTTTTCCCTTTTCCGTTTGTGATAACTGCAGACATTTACTAAGTATGTATAATTTTTTATGCGCAGATACTTCAGATATAACGTTATTATAATATGTGGGCAGTTTATATCTATTTTCATCCGTTCAATATTATATTTTGTATGCCAATTTTCCTCAATATACTGCGTAATAAATATATCTTATTGCGTTTTTATATATTTTATTGTGAATAGAAAAGAATACATATAATATAATACTAGAAGCCATGTATATATTTTTATAATGTTGCATTTTTTATCTTTTATATAAGATAGAAGATGTAGGTAAATAGGAATATGAGAACGAGTTCAGCTTAAATGTAATCACATTCATCAAAAATGTTGTTATTATTAATTCAAATTATCAAAACATACATACAAATAGGAATGACATCTACAGGTGGGGATTTTGGCAGTAATAAAAAATACAATACATCATATTTTGTTATTCCCAACAAAATAAAGGCCGCGTAAAATAAATCGTGCCACTGATTGATCAATAGGTAGTCAATACATAAAACCTCGAAGCCCTAACACAAACGACTCGGTAATAGCCTAATCCTAAACGGCTTTATTTGAACACAGTCCAAATATTTTTATAAAACTCTTGTTTATTCAAAACAAACCCTCTCGTTTTATTATTTTCGAATATGATATAGGTACTGGGAAAAAGGAAAATCCAATTTTCCGCTTACGTTCATTCGCTTCCGTTCGTTACCGGGTGTGCACTCTCAAGGCACTTGTTTTCCATGTATGGGTGTAGTTTATGATATGTCTATAGTAGTAGATATACTTTAGATATATAGTTATATATACTATTGCGCAATATATAAACTGGATATTTACCGTGATAATATTTATTTATTAACCTTCGATATTTAGATACTGTGATACTTATCTGCGTCCGGGTCGATTGTTGCAAAATGTAAAACACAGTATTTATATACAATCATTTACAATGCACTAAACAAATTGTATACATATTTATTCGTAAACTATTTTTACGTTAGGTTAGGTAGTAGGTAGGTTATTTACAAATACAAGTTTAAAAAAATATTATCATATATAATACTTTCTTTAGCTTGTGTTTTCAATTTTTTGTTACAATTTCTACCGTCCAATTTCACTGAAGTTAAATAGAACTGGCACGAAACTCAACATATACATTTTTTATGTTATTATATATTTCTAATTAGTTGAAATCAACTTTTATTAATAAAAAATTCTGCATACCGTCAATATCATTTTTGTATAAGATATACCATTTTCATATGTAACATTTTTTTTAATAAATAGTATTATTATTTGTAATAAATAATTAGTATATGACTGCGTATTATACATTTATTCATTGATACATTCAAATATATGCTTAATACTCGTAAATGCATATTACAAGATATCGAAATTGTATGAGTGGTCACGGCAATCTGCCACGGTAGCGCCGATACTCCACTCCCCTCGGCCAGTAGTCTTCCTTTATAAAGGTGGGCAGCATGTTCTTGGGCACCAGGACCACAAACGCCTTGGAAGTATCGTTGTAGCTCTTCTTCAGCTGCGGCTTCACCCTCACTGTCAGGTTACTCTTAAATTTTATATAATTGACAATGTCCTTTTCCTTAGTGCTGTAATGTAAACAGGGCAGGAGTATTGCCGTGGTCGGTGTACCAGCACGCAGCAGGATATTGGGCCCAGTGCCACAATGGTTTCCATTGACTCTCTTTGTGTTCTTCTTCTTTTGTACCACGACGAAACCATCATCGTCGCGGTTACCAGTGGCAGCACACTTGGGGTTAATGTTCAGTGCCGGTTTTGGCACACCCCGCTGTTCTGAAGCAGTAGGTTTGCTAGTGACGACGGAGGCAAAATCTCGACGCTGTGGTTGCAACGATGATTTTGTTGGCATTACTTTCACGGGCAGCGACGTTGGCGCTCGCGACGATAGGACGGGGGGCGCGGGGCGAGAAGTGACTTGTGGTAACACGACAGCGGATGACGTCAGTGTTGGCGGCAAAAACGCTGACTCATCTAGGCGTGCTCCACGGCGCGTGTTGATGTTTGTAGCGTCATTGGGTGAACTAGAAACGTTCCGTGAATCGCGCAAACTGTCCACCTCCTTGCGCAACTTACGAATAATTTCCTCGGACGCGTTGAGACGTAACGTCACATCGACCAAACTCTTTTTTAAGCAGACGATTTCCTTTAATAGGCTGGTTATGTCGAGGTGATCGAATGTGCCAGGAGGAAGTTTATCCTTCGCCACAAAACTCGGTTTGACCTCCTTCCCCAGCGATATTAATTCCTGTGCGGTTTTCTGTGTCCCGTCACGTCCAAGAGACACCATCTGACCCCCTTTGTTATAGTGCTCGAAGAACATCTTCGTCTTTGCGATGTCGTCCTGGCTGAGTTTGGACACACATATCCGCACTGCACTTAGTTCGTTCATTACATCCAGCTTCTGCTGCAGGAACGCAAGGAGCTCGTTGGCCACAAGTTTATCATAGATGGCTTCTATGTCGATTAAAACGCCTTACGCCGGCGCAGCGCTGAGCAAATTATTTATCAATATAAATATATTTTTTACGAATGCGTGCACATCGGATCGCGTTTACTATAAAACTGATAGCTAATAAACTAAAAGTTGCAGTTTTTATTTACATATAAAAATATTATTAATAGTAATATTTAATTATTTATAAGATCAGACGATTTTGCAAAAATGCAGTGGACTTTAATGTCTGTGATTCATGTAACTCTTAATTACATAATAAAGCAATGTAAACATTTAGTACTAACTAGTATTTTAATTAGGATAAAAATATCACCACCAAATATACAACTGGAATAGTAAACGGACTGACTGCCCTAATGGAAAGTTGAAGCCACCACCTAAATACAAATAGTTGACATAGACACGATATGATAAAGAATTTTATGTGCCGAACTATAGTGGCTATAAGGTATAATCAGTTTTTTTTTTGTTATACCACAGGTCAAACTTGGCTGCGACATACCTGATGATAAGTGAATATCGAAGCCGGCATTCCGAAGATATGTTCTATTTCCCGGTTCAAACGGGCCTTCGTGCTGAATAACATCTGATCATACAACGTGCTCTATTACTTAACCACTCTACGCTTTTGTTTAAATTATTTTAAATATCTTCATATTTTATTATTTATTGTTGGTTTTCAAAATACTCATATATAGTATTTCGAAATATCTATCTAATGTTATAAATGCGGTACTATGTCTGTCTATATAATATCTGCTATAACAATTATAATTGTAACATTAATTTGTTATAACAGCCAATATTTCTCTCCCTTCCAGATTGTTTATGATAACTAACGATAATATCGTCTACACAAATTTTAATATCATATTTTTATTTTAACATTTTAACATCCTCTGTAAATTTATTAGAATTTTCTTCTTTGTCTCAATTCTTATAATCTTAGATCTGATGTTGAACATTCCTATCTATAGACGCTACTGCATCTTATGAAATTTATGGCAAATCCTACACCGTAGGAGTTATCCGGCTTTGGATACTTTAGAATGAGTTACCTGCGCGCATGCAGAAAGCATTACGTCTAGCGAATCGTAAATCCCAGGATTTGTACTAGTTTTACTCATATGTAATTTCTGAAGAAGACGTTATAATACAGATCCTTTTAAAGTAAAATCTTCGCTTTTTACTCGCAATATGTACAATACAAATAAGGAAGGTTATTTTTGAATCCATAACAATGAAAATGATTCTATTTCATTTATGAGCACTCTTTAGCAAGAGATTGGAGTACCGAAAGAATTACTTTCTTCTTTTATTTACTTTAATAAAGGTTTCATCGGAATATCTATTAAAATAGCGAGTATGAAACGTACAGAAATTATAGACAGACTTATAATTGTAACTATAAAAAGTATCACTCCATTTGAAGGCTAACACAATAATCTATACTAATATATCTATTATAAATACGATGGTTATATTTGCCTGTCTACATTAGACAGTATCTCTGTCTATCTGTTAATAACTAAACAGTTAAACGAATCTTCAAATACAATTTAAAGTAAAGATAGATTGTTACACTTGACTATCTTTTATCATATAGGGGTGAAAGTTTGTCACGAAGTACAAAATAGAGACGAAAGTTTATACAGAATCGCTGATAACAGCTAAGTTGCTTTACATTATTTATATTATTATTGAAGATTCATGCACAATACTGGAATACCAAACAATTGTGATTTCTCCGTCCATGAGAAAAATAATCGTAGAATCGTAGAAAAGTAGTAGTAATTTTTTTAACTTAAATAAATTTATTCATTGTTAGATCATTAATATAACATGTCTGAATACATCACTACAAATATTGAAGTTAGTAACATATTTTTTGAAGGTATAGAATTGAAATATCATCGAATTATATATTCGATGTTATAAGAATATATATGTTACATTATTATAAATATTAAGTAATGGCCCGTGTATTGAGTTTGTAAATAACATTTTTTATTTTATCTCGAATCTATTATAGAATCGACCATCAAGCAAGCAATTTGTCATGTTATGGATTTGATTTGGAAACTGTAATAAATTAGACAAACTCTCACATATTTATACATTTCGTTCACTGTAGATTTTTATACAACAGTCACAATTGAATAAATTGTATTTATATGGTTAAAATAAAAATCCCTACAACTCGAATCGAAAATTTAATTGGATTTTACTTTCAAAAGAACTTGCTAAGTGTCATTATAACTTATTTTCGTTGGAGACTGACACTTATCGCGCAACATTCTTATTTACAGTTTCTAAACTTAGCTGTGTGTTGAGCTACACATTGTTGCAAACGTCTTATATCCCGTCGAGATTTTAAGCGGCGGAGACAAACTGATTATTATCTTTAGAAGCAGTAGCTGGTCATGTCGTCTATCTCACAGAAACAATTTTAAATACTATTTTTAACGATGGTTTTTTATGTATTAAGATTTTAAGAATAGTTTAATCGCTCTAGGTGAAGAGTATATTCAATGAATGACAGTACAATTACAATTGAAAAACTGATTTTTAAAATATAAAAAGGATACAACAAGGTGTATAACGTGCGCGAGCACAACCCCTGGTTAAAAACATTGATTGATTTTTATACTTGTTTAAAAGAAATCAGAAGATGTTGTATAAAAAATTTTATGGAAATTAAGTAAAACGAAGATCAAAAAGAATGATCCTCGAAGTAATCAGAACCATTAATATCAAATGACAACTCGAGTATAATATTTGAAGCCATTCTAATTTCAGTATATTACTGTTTCACGTAACATGCAGTCATTCCCTTAGACTAATTAAATATCTATTAGATCACTATCATTAAGAAACTCGTTATTATTCTATAAGTTTGTGTGTAAATGAAATAACTTTTTTCTATACAATTAAAATATTTGTAATAAGATTATCAGAAAACCGCTTCAGAAATGCTTCCAATATTTTCCTATAATTTACTAAGGATTTCTGGAGTCTTTGTTTTCTTGATATTTAATATCAATTACAGTATAAGCGTGGCAATTATTTTTTACTAAGTTATTCCAGATAACGGTTTATTTTGATCAAAAAATCAAACTCATTTCTTCAAAATCTCACCAGAACTTAATTAAAAAAGAGGCTAAATCTTAATTACTGTTTAATTAATAAGGAACTAAAAACCTTTTTATAATAATTTTGCTTGCAATCATATATTAACATGGAACAATAACAATGATATTATTTTTTAATATCAATACACTTTGTGATAATGTATAATAATGCGCCTGATTAGTAGTTCAGAGAAAGTTTAGCCGAGTTTTGCTATATTAATTTTGAAGGCAATTACTGTTTACCGAAAATTTATTTTATTTAAGTACATATAAGTTTGTACTGATCATTGTTATCTACAACTTTTGCCATTTCTCGGGTAACCGCATATTGCAATCTGATTATAATATATGGAATATATATCCATACTACTTTACATAGTATATTTAAAACAAATCACCTAAGGTGTCTGTACGCTTAGATCTTTTAAAGTACATAAAGGATTTTAACGCAGCCTTCAGCAATAAATAGAGTGATTCAAGAGAAATGCTAGTATGTGCATATTATAGTACAGATGAGCCGAGAAATACATGTATATGTTATGTATCCTTGCGAAACCGCGGCAAGTCACTAGTATGTGTGAAAATTTTAATTTCTGTTTCTGCAGTTTCTTCAGTTATCTTTTCAGTACTAAAAACCTACTAAATTTTAAATGTAGTGTAAGAGATATTACGAATTACACACATAGTTTTTTCTTAACCTAACCTAATTTATCAATAAGTTTCTACTTTAATCTCATAAAACACATATCGCTTTTACTCTTTAGTCTGAAACGCAACGCACGTGTTATCTATACTGTCACACGTTTGAAATAGATATGCTAGTGACTGGCGGTATCAACTCAAGTAAGGGGAGGAGATTGTTAGTAATGGAGACTAATGCTCCTAATGCTATCAATATACCACGTCAGATCGATCTCCACGCAGTATTTTCTGGAAACCTTCGCATTTAATTCCTAGTGATTTCGTCTTCCATTTTAGGTATTTCTTACTCCATGCTAATCCTACCATCCTACACTGCATGTACCGTTCCAAAAATTCCACTATCATCCATTAAAAAAAAGATGAAGGCAGTGATATTAAATTTATAATGACCATTATAAATATCTATGTAGGTATTTATTGTTTTTTTAATAAAATTTTGTTTCTTTAATTCCTCTTAAGCATTCAAATATTGACTGGGAGAAATTCCTCTGTTAGGATAAGTACGCCGTATTACTCATTCATTTCGCAAAAACTTTGTAGCCTTTACCTTAAGCCAAATAACCAAATTCAGTTGTTTTTGTAATAAAAAATAATACGGAAGGAATGTTCTTTCTACATAATATATATCCTTATGATGTTCAGATTATGCTACTACTCCACCACACTCCACAGCTTTATAGGTACCTATATGTACCTTCTTATATATTTCCACTAACAATTAATTTTATATAAGTTTATACTTTTAGTTCTCATGTTAAGTGGATTATTTGTAATTCTTAATGAGAATAAATATCTAAAATACAATATATGTGTATAACTGTACAACATAAAAAACAAGCTGTTAATTGCAATTGTTTGCTTTTTATGAGATAAAAAATAGCTTATATCCACTTGATGCAATCTATCTTCATGTTATAATCATTAAGATTCTTTCATTGTGAAAAGATACTAAACAGACAGACATAATATTCGCATTTTTAATGTTACTATGATAACACTGCTAAAATTAAATTAACTTTAATGATTTGTTATCGCTGAAGTAGGCACTGGTAACCTGGTAGTATATATGTAACCTCACATTCTTAAGAAATAATTACTAATAAAAAATTAAAAAAAAGCTAATACTATAAATACCTAAGTCGAGTTGTTACATTTTAATAACTAAACAGCTGAATGGATTAAAGAATTTTCACGTGAATGTATCACGATGACGGTGGGCATCTATTACCCCAAAAACAGCAAACGAAGTCTGGGTTAATAACTAGAGTCCTATTTGAATAATGCGCAATGAAACTTAGATTCACAGTTTTATTAGTAAATGCATACATAATATACACAGTGAACACCCAGACCAATACAAACACTCGTACTCATGAATACACATGTTTGTATCGTGCGAGGAATCAAATCTGTGACTATCTAAAGTAAAGCTGTGTGCTAAACTGCCAGACTACCGAGATCATGGAGTAATAACATTCCAAATTGTAATACGATAATGCAGTCGCAATATATTAATAGTGGGCTATATTTTATAACCGGGAAATCATAATAATAGGCCTGTAACTTCTATAATAGAAGCAGTTCGTTTGAACTTAGGTCGTTACGAATTTTCTGGGTATTTATGAAAGTTTTTATAGCATCCGCCGTTATATAAACATGACACATTCATAATTATTAATATTGTACTATCACAATAATAAAAGATATTTCATAATAAAAATTTTATAAATATGACATTGTAAAAGTTGTCAACGCAATGACATAAACATCTGTGTAATTTTAAAATTATGTCCGCTTAGAAAATAAAACAAGACAACTATAAATAATTATAAAGATTTATACATTATAATAATTTTTATAGGTTTATTTTATTTTATATCGTGTAAAAACATTAACCATTAAAATGATACCTTAATAATTAAGGATTTTTATTAAACGTATTATTTCCAGACTATAATTTTAAAGAAATTAATTAAATACGTAATATTTAATTCCTTAAGGTGTTTGGAAAATATTAATAAAACTTTACGATATACATTTTAGTGCACAATATCTGCACAATATTTTAATAATCATATTCCAAAATATTCAAATATTAAAACTTAAAAATTATTCCGTGCGCAATTTCAATTTCCCATCCTTAACTCCGATTTGCATCCAAAAAGTTCCACAAAAGTAAATAAAGTTGAACTTACTGCGATGAATCAAATTCCAAACCAATCAACATTCACAAACTTGAATACACAATCGCCACAAAACAAAACACACTCTATACTATAAATACCACTAAGAATATTAGTTTTTGGGCAGAAAAATGTTAATTTCGCGTAATAATATTAACACAGGAGTGCGTACGAACGTTACGTCCCTATGTCAGCACGCTTGGGACACATCTAAAAAAATCTGAATTCTGGAAGCTTATTGCCGCTTCGGAATGGAAGTTCACTACAGGAAGATTACACCTAAACCATTTCCGACCGTATTGCTTTATAAATAAAGTTGATTTTACACAATTAGAAGTACCAGGGTGCTGCGGGATGAGGCACAGATGCTGCGCGCATGCGTGCTCGTCTGTCATACTCTGTGCATGGTTTTTTATGTGTGGATGTGAGACGCTACATTGTTTGAATCTACCATTGTTGTGGACACTCCGTCCCCAGCGTGATAACTACCCTTACAACTCAGTGATTAATACTCCACTGTTTACTTTCCAGTGTGACATGAAGTATGTCTATGAAAAAGAAAACGCACTTAAAATGAAAATGGTATAACAATTACACTTCACCACGTTTATGAAAACTAAGTAGATAACTTTTTGCTAGGTTTTGAAGTATAATTAGTTGAGTAGTTACATAGTTATATGCTGTGCTGCTATAGTCTGTGTTACATGCTGATTACATAGCTTCATTGCCATCTTTTGTGACCAAAATGCAATAAATTATAGTTCCATCTACCTCACTATTTTTTCACAAAACGTATTATTAAGCAACTTATACTTGATTGAATGTGAATATATCAATGATAGTTAGTTAGTGTACTTATTGGTAATCGCCCGTAGAAATGAACAAACTCACTAATACACTCGTGGTTTTCGGTTGAAGGGTGAGGTAAAGCAGCAAAATTAAAAGATAAGAGACAAGACACCTTAGTCCTTCGACATGGTACTGTATTAATGGGTATCACGAGCGTCATATTATAACGTGATGTTTGTAGCGCTGTTTATGATAGGTCATCACATTTTTTGACATTCTAATTACACAAAAAAATCTGTAATTTTACTCATCAGCCGAAACATATTTTATAAAACAAGCTGTTTGGCGACTGGAATAATAGAGAGCTACGCAGAAGATATTGTTCATAATCTTTTGCGTAGTTCTCTATTATTTCAGTCATTGGTATGTGAGTCGATAATCTACCTCTGTAAAAGTTATTGTCATATACCGTATCATGTTCACTGGCTTTTGATTTTACATCGTTGAACATATTTAATAACATACGTACTCGTTGGTAAATCTTGAAATTTCAAACTTCATAACTTAGAGATAAGTTGAAATGACTATTTTAAAGTCACTTCCGGTATTACGACAGTTTCATGGACATTAGGATGTGAAACCATTTGTGTTATTATTATTATTGATTTACAGAAGTGTATCATAATAAAATGCGTATATAAAGACAAAGAGAAAATAACTCTAGAACCAGAGCACTGATATGTGTAAAATTCTAACACTTGATGTATATATTAAGTGTAAGAATTTTACACATAGTTAAAAAAGAAGTAACTGCAAAATAATATACGGCCTCATTAGGACCTAATGTTTAATTTATACTGAATGTTCATTAAAACACGATACTAATTACGTTTACTTATGACAAAGTCAATATAAATGTGATAATTTAAATAGCATCGTGATATCGGCCCGTCGTGATTGCACGGAATAGTCGAACAAACAGAAACACGCATACAATTTGCAAATATGAATAACAATTGGTGGAAACCCCTGCAAACACTTCACAATCGGGTTACATATGGGTCTGTATCAGTGATTACGGACGTATCCAAACAATTGATATAGCATTATTTTGTGGACAGTGGGATAATGCCAAAAGTTTCCTATTGACTTTTACTATTTATTTACATTACATATAGCAACAACGGTTTTTAAAGATATAAAAAAATATATTTGAAAAACCAATCGTCATTCTATTTTTAAATAAACACAGAGCTTTAAGTTGAATACTTGAATTAGTTTTCCTAAATATAAGACAACAACGGGTTTTATATTTAAGACAAATAATTCAAGAATTTTCAGAATCGTTATTCTTAATAAAAAGAATGAAAAAATATATAAGCATAAGTCTTTATACATGTTGGTGGTATACGTGTTAGTACACTAAATGTTTTGGATACAATTCCTTTTTAGTATGAATCAACATTTCGCAACTCTAAAATGTTGTTGGAGAATTTTATAAACATTAATGGTTTAAAACTTTTGTGACATATCACCTAATTTGCTATCACTATAACATATTTCAAGGAAACGATGATACGATATTTTGAATAATTATTTACATTTTTTATTAAAGTAAATAGGTCATAAACTCGACGCAGAAAGAAAATATCAGTGTAAATATTTAAAATTAATACAGATATTCCTTCTAAATGCGTACAAGCCCTTTTATGTTCAGTAGAAATACGATTTTACTTCCGGGATATTTATAATTGCATGTACAGATTAAGGCCTTCATTCGTCGAGTTTTGTTTATTTGGTATAAACAAACAGCGAAACATTATTTCGGGATTGCCACACAAACTTTTTTAAACAATCTCATATTGAATAGGTTACTTTATAACCAGACTTTTCACATTTAAAAATAGAAACGACTTTTATAGCTGTATAATAATTAATAATAGAATATATTATATTGTGTTAGTAATACTTATTATGTTTGACAACGTTGGTAGTCTAGCGTTGCAAACTGTATTTATTTCATTTTTTTCTTTCTACTATACTAGGGTCTTTTTTTACAATACGACTTTTTACAAAATCTATCTTAGTAATAACTAAGGTAGATTTTGTAAAAAGTCGTTCTATTGGGTAACTCTGCTTCAGCTTTTTTAACTACCTAGTGGCCTAGGTATATTGTACGCAGTGTTTTGGTTGTAGCGAGAGATTACACAGTAAAAGTACTGTACTGATGTTACATGGTAATGTTATGGCCGTAGTGCTGTTTTTACATAAATAAATAAATAACCTCCTGGACAATTAACACATCACTATCTAGTCCCACGGTAATCAGAACTTGAGTTATGGGTACTAGACAACTGATAGAAATACTTGATGTATATTTTTTAATTATATTCATAATATACATAGAAAACACCCAGACTGATAAGACAATCATACTCAGGAATACAAATGTTTGCACCGTGCGAGGATTCGAACCCGCGACCATCGGAAGTAAAGCGGTGTGCTTATACTAATATACAGGTAACGGTTACCGCTTAGCATGATATGGGCTGCCCGCTTGCTGCTAATTACATAAAAAATCGTGTAATTATGAAAGATTACATGACATAAAGACATTGACAATAATATATATTTATTTATAATTTCATTATTTTTATATAACTGATATAGCAGTAACTGTTCCGTGGTACTCTTCATACATTACTATTTATGAGTACTACGACGTTATTTTATTAATTTCACTACGATCTCTGATCTTTTAAACCGAAACAAAGCAACTGCTTGGGTGCAGAGTTAAGTGAGACAGAAATATGCAGACTTCACAAGTCACAAGACAATGCTAAGTTTTCCTCACATATAAAGAAAAAGAAAGTAGAAAGGGCAGAATTAACAAATAAAATTACATGTAGAATAAGAAATTAAAGTCAGCTTGCATATATCGATGTCTTGCTAGTGAAAAAGTTATATTCCTATACCGAATAATATTGAGAATAACCTACAATATTGCGTATACCAAGAAAGTCCATCTCACGGAAATGGACAGAAAACTCCAAATCAGCTTTCACTATGCTTGCAATGTGATTGACAACCCCCATTTCTATGATAACTAGTTCCAGAAAGTGGAGCTGACATTATTAAAGTTTTAGAGAATATTATTCGGTTAAGCAAGCAAGTTTGTTCGTAGATATCATTGAGAGAAAGTTCTCCTACCAACAGTCCGTGTCGCAACTTGTAATCGAAAATAGATTACCATTGTATGTACCTACGATTAGTATTTAATCTTACAAATGAAATTTGTCTTGAAAACTTAGTTATAAAAAGAAATTAAATATTTCTTTATTAACTTTTACTAAGTTTACTTATTTTTTTTTGTGGTTTTGGTAGGGATAGACAGAAATATACTAAAACTAAACTAAACAAAACTAAACTAAATATGATTCTGCCAAGTCAATCCTATACAGAGCAACCCTGAAAACTTATCACCATTAGAATAAGTATCTAGTTTTTTTAAGTTTCGTATATACCATATTATTTTCCGTCATTTCTGCAGCAAATATGCAGCGAAAAATTTGAATAAACCAGGAAAAATAAATAATAAAATAGTGATTTCTAGTTCTCTGTTACTTTTGTACAAGTTCTGTCGGAATTAATGTTAGTTTTTTGTTGTACAGCAAGCTAACACTTTTTTTTTAATTTCTAAGCCAATTTCTTATAAGGGTTAGATAGATTGATCACAATTAGTGAAATATTCCTAAAAAGTCCCAAGAAAGTTAATACAGTTATTATGCAAGCGTCGCATCTATAGTCAATTTCAAATGAGGACTTTGTATTATAAATTAATAAAAATAATACGTATTAAACGTTAATTTTTATGAGAATCAAGTACTCTACTGATGAGAGAAAGTTTACAATCTGATCGTAGTAAAACTTATTCCCTGGTGTTCCAACGTGGTGAACATGCGAATGCAGGAATACTTTCCGCCATATTGGAACTCCGACTCGAATCCCGAAAGCAAATACTGAGTACAAAAACTTGGACCAATGCTATATGAACTCAGGGAGGCATGGAGTCGAATTATGTTGATCATGCAATACAAGCTTAATGTGAAACAGTTTCGGAAATACAACAATAAGTAGTTATTATTCATGCTTAAAATTTGTATATTAAAACATTATTTTTATATATTTAAAGAAGATAATTTCCTAATAACTAAATATTATCTCCGTTTTAGTGCCCATCGCAGAGATCCTGATTCTGAACATATACATATTTTTTCCAAAAAATATCGACTGTATATATTCTACTGTGGAGCGACAAATAGAATAGACGAAAGTTTAATATAAAGGTAACATAGAATTAAAAATACGAGATAACCCTATCCATGTGACCAATTTGGATATTTACGG